ATCTGAATCGGAGACCAGAAAGAGAGAATATTGAATTCCACAAATAGTTAGCCATAGGACAATGGAGGAACAAGTGATCCCTAGTTTCTAATGGATCATCACAAAAAATACATTGGCAATCATTGATAAGCCCCATACGAAGAAGTCTATCTTTAGTAGGGAGTCGATCAAGTAAAGCCATCCAAGAAATTAAGATGTGTTTGGTATATAGAAGGGAAACCAGATGATTTTCTGCCAGATTACAGGGGGTCTCTTAACCCGAATTGCATCCCATATACTCCTCACTGAGTAAGCAACAAAAAATATAGCAGTAGAAGCCTCACGCCTTAATTTAAATATTTTCCTTAAGCTCTAGCTGGTCGTAGAGTTAATTTCTGCAGTCCAGAAATTGTTACCTTTAAGAACATAGCAGTTAATCCAGGCGACACACAGTGAGCCTTCACCTGCAAGAATTTTCTTAATAAGAAGGAGCATACAAGCTTTGTTCCAAGTCTGTAAGTCTTTAATTCCAAGCCCCCCCCCTCCGAATTCAAGAAGAAAATATTTTTCCATCCTACACGGGCTCCAGAAATAGATATATCGGCGCCTTTCCAGAAAAACCGGAAGCATAATTGTTCAATTCGCTTAAGAACAGAGTTAGGCAGAAACAATTGTCGACACCAATAACTACTGATGCTAAATAAAACCGCTCTGATTAATTCAAATCTACCAGCATAGCTAAGAGTTTTAGTAGACGAAAGATGTAGCCAAGCCTTTATGTTTTCAATGAGGATCACACTGTCTTTTTCAGAAACTTTCCTTGTGGTTAAAGGAATGCCAAGATACCTTACTGGAAGAGAACCAATTTTAAAACCAGTGAGAAGATTGATGTTCTCAATAGTGGATAAGGTCATGCCAGCAGCAAATAACTCGCATTTAGAGATATTAAGCCTAAGGCCCGATATTTCATAAAACAAGTCAAGAACACTTGTTACCCCAAGAACAGAATCAGTAGTCCCTTTGCAAAATACAAGAAGATCATCAGCAAAGGATAGGTGAGTAAGTCCAACTCTTTTATATTTAGGGTGGTAACCAAAGATGTTTTTAGCAGTTGCTAGATTTAAAAGCTTTGAAAGAACGTTCATAGAGAGGACAAATAAAAGAGGGGATAAGGGGTCACCTTGTCTTATACCTTTCACTCCCTTGAAATAGCCGATTAAGCTTCCATTAAAAGAAACTGAGTATCTTGTAGTAGAGAAGGATAATTCAATCCAGTTAACAAACATACTTAGAAGACCAAAGGCTTTCAAAATAGCAGAGATGAATCCCCAATTTAAAGAGTCAAAGGCCTTGTGAAGGTCAATTTTAAGGGAACATCGCGGGGAAATGCTCTTCCTATTGTAACCTCTAACCAATTCTTAGGCTAAAAGAGTGTTATCGACAATGCTTCTACCTTTAACAAATGTGGTTTGGTTAAGGGTAATCATATCAGGAATAATGCTAGTAAGCCTATTAACCAGGATCTTTGAGATGGCTTTATAGAAAACAGAGCAACATGAAATAAGCCTAAAGTCTTTAACAGTACAAGGATTAGGTATTTTAGGCACATGAGCAATAATTGTTGCATTGAAAGCAGGAATGATGGAAGAATCTTGAAAGAATTGTTTCATGGCCGAATATACATTCTGACTAATAATAGGCCAGGCTTTTTTGAAGAACAATAGAGAATAACCATCAGGGCCTGGTGCTTTGTCATTACCTTGACAGAAGAAAGCATCTTTGATTTCCTCATTTGAGATTTCCTTAATAAGGTTTTCAAGTCTATCAGAGGTCAAAGAGACTTGAAGGATGTTTTTTAACATGATAGGGTCAGGAACATTCACCTCAGGATCATTTGTGCCAAGGAGCTTTGAAAAGTAATTGATCGCCTCATTTGATATAGAGTCAAATGATTCTAGCTGATTCCCTTGATCATCAATCAGAATACGAATGATATCACATTTATGGTTACGAGCAATAGCAGAATGGAAAAATTTAGTGCACTTATCCCTCTCCTTAAGCCATAAAACCTTAGCATTTTGTCTTAAGAACGTATACTCATCATCTTCAAGGATCTTAAGCTCAGATTGAAGTTGGACTACATTCTCAATAGTATCCTCGCCTCTTAAGGATTTAATATGTTGTAATTCAAGCTGAGATTTCTTTTGAGTAACTCAGGCAGTAAGGTCACTATAACAAGACTGGTTGAGGTTTATAAGGTTATTTTTCAGGCGCTTTAACTTAGAAAATAGGATTTGCATCAGATTACCTTGAGCAGGGGTGTTCCAAGACTGTTGGACCACACATAAAAAATTAGATTTTTGATTCCAGAAATTAAAGAACTTGAAAGGCTTTGGTATGTTAATTTGGAGTTCTTTGGAAAGCCAGACTACCGCCATACAGTGATCAGAGACACCAGGAGCGAGAAATTCAACATGAGAAGCGTTGAAGGAATTAACCCAATTCGGATTAATAAGGACTCTGTCGAGTTTTCTAGCAAGCAAAGAAGACCTTTGTTTGTTACTCCAAGTGAAATTAGGGCCAAAGAACGGGTGGTCTATGAAATCCAGATCAGAATAGACTTCTTGGAAGTCTCTTATATCAGAAGAAATAATTAGACCTAATATCTCAGTGTCCGAGATCTCAAAAGTGTGCAAAGTAACATTGAAGTCTCCCCCTAGGATCCAAGGGGATTGACCAATGTTAGCTTCTAAATCTTTAAGTTGTTACCAAAGGGATCTTCTCACAATACCATCATTACTAACATACACATCAGTAATGACCAGAAGAATGCCAAAGTGTAAACTCTTGATGGACATACACTGATCAGAGGAATGAAAGACTGTGAAATCCAAACCATTTCTCCATAAAATCCATATTCTACCATTAACTGCAAAGTCATAATTGGAACAAGCTTTCCAACCACTGAATTTCCTACTTTGAATACTTTCAGCTTTATCCACTTTGACTTTAGTCTCAAGCAAACAAAGAACATCAATTTTATTCTGAAGAGCTCTTTTAAGAACACTTCCTTATTTTTTAGGACAATTCAATCCTCTAACATTCCAAAATCTGATGATCATTGAGTATGAGTATCAGGGGTTACCCCTCTACTACCTACATAACTATTTTTTGCTAAGCCTATTTTTTCCTTCTTTTTGGATTTTAATTCTTGTACAATGGCAGAGACTCCTAAAGAGGAAGAACGAGGCTTTCGGGGAAGACCTTCTAGTGCAAAATAATTTCATCTGCTCCGATAAGTATTTCGAATCTGTTTGAAGAGGAAGAGAATGAAGCTTTGACTTTATTTTTAGAGAGTCTACCTCTACGTTTTTTAGTAACCTCAAGAGTGTTTTCTTCCTTGTTAATTGGAGAGGGAATAGAATCAGAATTTTCCTGAGAGGTATCAACATTTACAGGAGCTGTGGAAAAAAACAATTATGCACTAACATAAACCCATCAGAAGGCTTAATTGGTTCCATATCGACCTTTTTACGAGTAGAATCATTAAGATCAACAACTTCTTTGGATTCAGACAAGTTTTGGGAAACTGTATTCTCTTTTTCTTGTAGCATTTCAATACCCCCAACAGTTAGTTCAACCTCTTTAGGGGAACCATCCTTTTTTCTCCACATTAGAGTCTTAGCTGGGGCTTGAATTTTTGTTTCCTTGCAACCCTTATCAGAGTGACCAAAAGTTTTACAGGATCGACAACGGGGAGGTACCCAAGGGACCTCAACCTTAACCGATACAGAATGACCATCATTGATGACTACTTCAATGAAATTAGGAATAACATTTGTAACCCCTAGTTCAATGCAAACTTTCGTGAATTCAAGATGAGATTTAGCAGTTGTGATCGATTCCATTGAAAGGGGGGAACCTATGGCACTCGCAATATAGTTCATACCAGTACGCGAGAAGAGTTCAAGAGGGACATTATAGAGGTGTATCCAGACTGGGATTTTAGTTAAATCAAAGTTTAATCGTTTAAGGTTTGGCTCCCACCTCATAAGAATCAAAGGTTTGTTCAATATACCATGGCCCATTATCTAATACCCAGTCTCTATCAGAATCAGAAGCGAAAGAAATAACATAGAGATTTTGGCCAGCAAAACTAACCTGAACGTTCCTGCCAGATAAGGACTTCTTCCACAAATTTTTCACGATTCTTTTCATTGAAGCAAAGTTTGGGGCTGCTCCAAGGAATTGGCCCACGAGAGAAGAATTCCACTCCGAAATTCCTGTTCAAGCACTTCAGGGGAGGCTGGACAAAGTAGTGCCATTGCGAACCCTAAAAGATAAAAATCCAAGAAAAAATATTTAAAATTTTATACATTATATGTTAGATAACATTTAAATTTAATGGTCATGACCGTCTATGCACCTAAAACTGTAATATATACACCTATCGTTAACAAAAAAAAATTATGTGCCAAATGTATTTTAAATATTATTTAAATATTAAAAAGTATATTAAACCTTTTGAAAGAAAAGTAATTATCAGCCGCGACAGTACCATGGAATGGATTAGTTGGCAGCTTTTCATTGGATAGTGAGACGTAAGGAATTTCTATTTTCCTCAAATACCCTTGTCTGTTTAGGGGAATAGTCTATGCAGAAATTAGGGAAAATCAAGTTTGAATTTTTAAGTAATTTGGTCAAAGTTAAATTTTTATTACACAAACTTAGGTTGTCCTGTTAAAATACTAAAGGCCAATAAATCCATGCCACGTGAAAAAATAACCTGACCATTTGTTTTTTAATGAAATGATTTTGATTAATAAAAATGAGGTGTTACTATTTGACAGGTCAGCGCTTAAGGGGGAATAACGTCATTTCAATTCATTTGCCTTATTTTATTTATTCTATTCCCCTTCGTCCATTTTAGATTTTATCTAAAAAGAATAAAATATTATATATATAATTTTTTCCTTTTCTTAATGAAAGAAAAAGCAATCAGTGACATAGGGGAGAGAGAGAGGAAAGTCTCTTCATTTTCTCATATACCTCTAAACTTGCAGCTTAAGAAATACCAAAAAGAACATATGTAAATCTAATTGAGATTTTTTTTTTCATTCTCGAAGATACTTCTCAAATAAAACCCAGTTCTTGTTTTTCAGAGTAGTTCTGTATAATCTCCCCCTTCATCGATTTCGTGAACTGGTAAGTTAGTTTGGGTTTTTAGTTTAATGTGATTTTATGCAATCGAATCTTTCTTTTGATTTCTCCAGAGCCAGATCTTTTATCTACTTTTACTGTCAGTGATTATTTTTTTTTTTGAATTTATTTCTGCTGATATTTATGCTTTTGATCTTTTCTGTATTTTTATTTTTCTTCCCAAGCTATGATAGTCTGAATCTATATTTAATTTTTCACTATCTATTTTGGTTGACATGTTCTTGATAAACATTGACTTGGCCGTTGCTGTTGTTTTCTTAGAATCCCAATTGGGTTTATCTATTTATTTTGGGTTTTCGTTTTCGAATAATATCTTATGGAATATTTATGAAACTAACCTTTCTCCGTGTATTGATTCTAATGGGTGCTTTTTTTTTTAGTCTCAGTTTGATTCTTATCAAATGAAAGCATGTGCTGTGAATGGGAGGGGTTAAACCCGAAGCCGATTCCGGTAACATCGAACGCTTCTTTTGAAGATAGCAGACATCCTAGTGTAGATATGAATCACCTAACTGTAGTGACCGAAGATACTTTTGCAAGTCTGCTTGAGCTTGCTGCTAATAATGATGTCGAGGGCTTTAAACGATCGATTGAGAATGATCCTTCCGGTGTTGATGAGGTTGGGTTGTGGTATGGTCGTCGGAAAGGCTCAAATCAGATGGTTAGTGAGGAGAGAACTCCATTGATGGTTGCTTCTATGTATGGTAGCATCGATGTTATTAAGCTGATCCTTTCCTCTTTGGTTGCTGATGTTAACCGTGTGTGCGGCCGTGACAAAACCACTGCCCTTCATTGTGCTGCATCCGGTGGGGCTGTTAACATTATCGACGTTGTGAAGCTGCTTTTAGCTTCCGGTGCCGATGTAAATATGGTTGACGCCAATGGTCATTTTCCTGTTGATGTTATTGTTGTTCCTCCAAAGATTCGAGATGTGAAATTAACTCTTGAAGAATTCCTTGCAACTGAGAGTTCCGGTTTTGATCTGAGTTCAAAGGTGTCGGCTGTTTCAAATTCCGACTCCCCTCCTCTATTGCCTTTGCAGGAAAATGGCTCTTTGTCATCTGGTTTGGATTCCCCGGTGAAGTCAGAGAAAAAAGAATACCCGATTGATCCATCTCTTCCGGATATCAAGAATAGCATCTATTCAACTGATGAGTTTCGGATGTATTCGTTCAAGGTGCGGCCTTGTTCACGTGCCTACTCCCATGATTGGACCGAGTGCCCGTTTGTTCACCCTGGGGAGAATGCTCGAAGAAGGGATCCTAGGAAGTTTCATTACAGTTGTGTTCCTTGCCCTGATTTTCGCAAGGGGGCATGTAGGCGCGGAGATATGTGTGAATATGCCCATGGTGTTTTTGAATGCTGGCTACACCCTGCTCACTATCGGACCCGGTTGTGCAAGGATGGTACTAGTTGTGATAGGAGAGTCTGCTTCTTTGCCCATACTCCTGAGGAACTCCGACCTCTGTATGTCTCCAGCGGTTCTGCTGTTCTATCTCCTCGATCGAGTACTTCCAGTGCCACAGCTATGGATTTTGCTGCTGCTATGAGTCTCTTGCCCGGATCACCTTCATCTGTATCCGCTATGTCTCCGTCACCATTCACACCACCCATGTCTCCCTCAGTGAATGGCATGTCTCATTCCAACGTTGGCTGGCCACAACCGAATGTTCCAGCCTTGCATCTTCCTGGAAGCAACCTTCAATCTAGTCGGCTGCGATCTTCTCTTCATGCGAGAGACATTCAAGCTGAAGAATTCAACTTTCTCTCCGAGTTCGATGTGCAACAACATCAGTTGATGAATGAGTTATCTGGCCTTACTCAGCCGTCGTTGAGTTCAAGTTCTTTTAACCGATCTGGTCGAATGAAGCCCCTGACCCCATCAAACCTCGATGATCTCTTTTCTGCTGAGAGCTCCTCTCCACGGTACTCCGATCAAGCGTTGGCTGCCGCTGTTTTCTCCCCAACCCACAAGTCTGCTGTTCTCAATCAATTTCAGCAGCAGCAAAACATGCTCACACCCATAAATACAAATTTTTCTCCCAAAAGTGTCGAGCTTCCTCTCTTGCAGGCTTCTCTATCCGGTAGAATGTCTCCTCGAAATGTTGAACCTATCTCACCGATGAACCCTAGGATTTCGATGTTAGCTAAACGGGAGAAGCTGCAAGAATTTCGCAGCCTAAGCTCTAGGGAGCTCCTCTCTGGCACGGCTGCTATTGTTGGTTCCCCGGTTAATTTACAGTCAAAATGGGGGTCCTTCAATGGGAAGCCGGACTGGGTTGTTAATGCTGATGGGTCAGTCAAGCATAGTAGGTCGTCGTCGTTTGAGCTGGGTAACGGGGACGAGCCTGATTTATCATGGGTTCAATCCCTTGTCAAAGAATCTCCAACTGATATCAAAGAGAAAATAGCAGCACCGGTCTCGGGTGAGGGTTCAAGCATGAACTTGGATCCGGTCGATAATGCTGCATTGGGTGCTTGGCTCGAGCAAATGCAGCTCGATCAACTTGTGGCTCAGCAGAACTGAAACCTGATTCGCTGAGCCCACCTGAGGTATAGACGACAGTAACGTTCAAATTCTTTTTTGTTCGGACAGGTAAAGAAGAAGAGAAGGTGAAGGTGAAGGGAAAGAGATTGAGGTGAGTTTTACAATGGAAACTTCGTTTTCACCATTTTATCATTACTATTATTACAACAAAACAGTTGAAACAAGTTGAGGATAATCCTTGTCTTGTGTTTTAAAGAAACTATGACCAGGTTTAGGTTTTTTTTTTTTTTTGGTTTTCTTCACAATGTAATATGATGATGATGATTAACATTCAACTAAGGTTTTATTGCTTAATTCCTATTTCAAATAGCTTCATTGTTCCTTGAATAGGTTAAATATATCTCTGCATTATATGCATGATAAGACGGTGATTGAAACTAACACAATTTAGATTATTAAGGGTTAATGTCACATTTTGCCCCTGAACTTTCATTGGAGGTGCAGTGTAGTATTTGCACAAAAATTAGTGCTCTCTTCATATTTCCAAGTGAAGGACGCAGGTGCTCCGAGCCATAACCGGTAGGGTAAAGGAGCCGGGGGGAGCCAGAGCAGTGACGTCAATGTGAACTAAAAGAGAGATTGAGAGAGTTTATGGGTCAAATTGATATTTTATCTAAAGTGTAAGGGTTAAATTAAAATTTTATCAATTTTTTAACGTGTCGTGTCATTGAACTATTTCATGGAGAAAAGTGTAACAAATCGATAACGTAAGCGATCAATATCGAAACTTTTTAAAAACTGGTGATCAAGATTGAACAGACCAAAATAAAAGGGACCGCCAATATTGTTTACCCTTTATATATTACCATTTTATACATTATTTTAGTAATAAAACTTCAACCTTTTATTAATTGCTTTACATCTTGAATTCTTTTGATTTCAACCCGCTTCGGTTAATTTATGAAATTCCCCTAATTTAAGTAAAAAAAAAGGAGTTTTATTTGTGATTATTGTATATTGATTTATAAGATGATTCAGATTGTATTTGAGGTGTTACATATTTCATGCTAATATAAAATTATCTGTCTTATATGTAATATTATTTTAGAGTTAACAAAACCCGATTCAATAAGGAAAAATATTTTTTTGAAATTTTAATTGTTCGATTTAATTTTTACATTTTGAGTTCGAGTCAAGTTATAATTTTTAAAGTTTGAATAGTCAAAAATATAAAATTAAAATGACATCTATTTAATCTTTAACTAAGTAATTTGATTATTTTATAATTTAATCTCCAATTTTCTTATTCTTTTATTTCATCTTTCAATTTAAGTATGTTTTTTACCAAATTTAAATCACATTCTTCTCGACCTCTATAAAATATTATGCAACAATATAGCTTCAATTCTTCTTTTAAAAATACTTATTTTTAATTTAATCTCTTAATTTTACAAAATCCTCCTATACTAACTGTTTTGAAATAGCAGCAACGCAATATGCAAATCTAATAAACTAATATTTGAAAAAGAAAAAAAAAAACACAGCTAAACCTGCTAATAATTTCTTTAAGACATATAAGATATCCTCAACCTATACTAACTGTTTTGTTGTAATAATAATGATAATAAATGGGGAAAATTGAAGTTTCCATTGTAAAACTGACCTCAACCTCTTTGCCTTCACATTCTTATATTCCTTTACATTTCCTTCAACATTCAATAACCACCAGAATCCGAATATCCGGGGGGAGGGGATACAAATGTTATTTACCGAAACATTTTTTGTTGTCACTACCTCGGGAGGGCTCGACGAAACCGGTCTCAGTTTTGCTGCGCCACAAGTTGATCGAGTTGCATTTGCTCGAGCCAAGCTCCCAACGTAGTATTATCGACCGGATCTGAGTTCATGCTAGAACCCTCACCCGAGAATGGTGCTTCCATTTTCTCTTTGATCTCCGTGGGAGATTCTTTTACAAGGGATTGAACCCATGATAAGTCTGGCTCGTCTCTGTTACTGAGCTCAAACGAGGACGACCTGCGATGCTTGCCTAACCCTTCAGCATTGAAAGCCTAATGATAATTGTTTAATTTAGTTAATATTTTGCTTTTAAATTACTTCTTAATCATTGGTTTTTGTGGTTTAATCGTTCGTTTTGATTCATTTTCTGTACAAGACGTCAGATTTTGGAAATTGAACAAAAAGGACAGAATTATGTAGTTTTTTTTATTGTATTTTCGGAATCAAAGCTGGCTGGAATTCGGATTTGGATTAAACTCAAGTTTTAGAATAATATTTTAAATATTATATTTTATCTTTGAATTTTAGTTTAAATAGGTTTTAGTATTTTAATTAAGTTTTAGGATATTATTTTTATATTTTATCTTTGTTTTAGATATTTTAGTTTAAATAGGTTTTAGTATTTTAATTAGGATTTAGAATATTATTTTAAATATTATTTTTTAGGTATTTTAGTTTAAATATTTTTAAGTGTTTTAATTAGGATTTAAGATGTTTTAGCTTGTTTTTAGGAATTTGAAGGCTATAAATACCTATCAGGGTAAGCCTAGAAACATATATCTCTCATCTGAGAATAAAATCTTCTTTTTCTCTCTAGCTTTCTCTCTATTTTTCGCATACTTTTCAATTATGCTAAGTATTACTTTGGTCATGCTTAGTTAATTTTCTCTCAAGCCGAAGACTGAAGCGAAGACTCAATTCCAAACGTGAGAATTGTAAGGTATTAAATAGCTTCGATTTTTCTCTTTGTTAACGATTTCGACATTGGTCCGAATATTGTTATGGTTAACGTTTGAAGAAGGATTTGCTTATTGAAGTATATTCAACTTCTCGAGAACACACTTAGCAAAATAGTTTGCTAAGAGAAAACTGAGATCGAATCAGTTATTGTTGAAACGACACAATCCGAGTTGGCAGCGAAGAATTGTCCTTGTAAGCCGACGTGAATCTTGAAGTAAAAATATGTTTCGATGATCCGAGGAATTTGAGGCAAAGCTGAAGTTTGAGGCTATTTTCACTATAAGTTTCTCTTTATCTCAATCTCTTTAATTTGTTTATTTAATTATTTTTATTTATTTAATTATCTTTTATTTTAAAAACAACTTTTAAAAATCCCCCTTTTATATTTATTACTATTAATATTTATTATTTTTTTTTTTCTTTTTTTATAATTATTTATTTTATTATACATTTTCAACTTTACATGGAATTCTATCTTTTCCTAAAATCAAGAAACATTTTTAAATCATAAAAACCATAGTCCCTATGGATCGACCCTGCTTCTCTATACTACCTTTTCCTTTATATTTAAGAAGTCGGAATTATTTTGATAACAAAACGACGGTTATCAAATTGGCGCCGTTGCCAGGGACTAACGACAAGTACTGATTTTTTTTCTAGTTTTTTATTTATGACCAGAAGAAACCCAGGTGAAGAACCAGAATCAAATCCGAGACTGGAGCAGACACATACAACATTCCAATGGCAGAAGAAGAACAAACGATCCGAGAGCTAGCCACAGCTCCTGTCACTCAGACGCATTATGCATTAATTTTCCTAGTGGCGGGACTCCGTTTCAATTAAAGACGGGACTCATTCATCTTCTTCCCACCTTCCACGGCTTTCCCACTAAAGATCCGCACAAACACTTGTTGGAATTCAACATGGTTTGCACTAGCATGAAACCACAGGGAGTTATTGAGGATCAAATTAAATTGAGAGCTTTCCCTTCTCTTTAGCCGATTTGGCTAAAGATTGGTTATTTTATTTACCTCCAAATTCAGTTAATTCATGGGCTACATGAATCAAATTTTTATTGACAGGTTTTTCCAGCAGCTAAAGCAAGCGGATTACGAAGGAGCATTCTTTCCATTCAACAAAAAATTGACGAAAGTCTTTATGACTATTGGGAACGATTTTAAAAACTTTGTGCACGTTGTCCGCAACACGGATTAAGTGAGCAAACATTACTTCAATACTTTTATGAAATCCTTTTACCAATGGAGATGAAAATAGTGGATACCGCCAGTGGAGCATCATAGTCAACATGACCCCAACAATAACAAGGGAATTGATTTCAACCATGACATCCAACTCTCAACAGTTTTCAAGTGAACCCAGCCGATGGGTTCACGAGATAAGTACATTTTCCCTTGAAAATAAGTTAGATAAATTAACTGAAGTAGTTAATTCACTTGTTTCAGAAAAATCTGGAGCAACAAAAGAATGTGGGATATGCACAAAGCTAGACCATTTGACAGATTGTTGCCCGCTGATACAAGAAGAAGGCAATGCAGTAGGGAACTTTCTAGGTCCTCCACAAAGACAATACAACCCATACATCAATACTTATAATCCAGGATGGCGAGACCACCCAAACTTCAGCTACGCGACAAATCAAAGACCATAATTGAGGAACTCATAGAAAAGTTAGCAATTTCACAAGAAAAGTTCATTGCATCCCAGGAAAAATTCCAAATCCGAATCAAAATACATCTTCAAGAGTTAGATAACCAAGTAAGCCGACTAGCTCAAACTATGGGAAAATTGGAATCACAAGGAAGAATACCTTCTCAAACGAAGTTAAATCTGAGAAAGAATGTTAGTGTCATCACACTCCAAAGTGGAAAAGTTATCTCACCTGAAGTTCCAACATAAAAAGCTGCACATCAGAAAGAACAAGAGAACGCGCCACCTTCAGAAATACAAGGTACGTCTAACACTCATCCTTCTCTTTCTTCTCATGAAATTACGCCACCACCCTTCCCATCAAGATTGATGAAGCGTGATAAAAGAGCTAAAGAAAATGAGATCTTAGAGGTGTTCCAAAAAGTTCAAAACAACATACCTCTTCTTGAAGTAATTCAACAAGTACCAAGGTATGCTCGATTTTTAAAAGAACTTTGCACTACAAAGAGGAAATTAATGGGGCACGAAAAGGTAAATTTGGGAGAACATATCTCTCAAATTTTTTAATGAAAGCTCTCACCAAAGATGAAGGATCAAGGTATGTTCGTTATACCTTGCAAAATATGTTATTTTAAAATTAAACGTGCAATGTTTGACTTAGGAGCTTCAATTAATGTTATGTCATTTTCTATATATAAAATGATTACTAACGAGCCTTTGAAGGAAACAGGAATAACCATACAGTTGGCTGGTCGATCTGTGATCTATCTAGTGGGAGTAATGGAAAACGTCTTAGTAAAGGTTGATGTATTATTTTTTTTCCTGCAGATTTCTATGTTATTGACATGGAACATGACAGGTCGGATACCTATTCCGATGTACTTTTAGGCCAACCCTTCCTAAGCACCGTACATACAAAGATCGATGTTAGAAGTGGTATACTG